TGAGTTTGAACCACCGACCTTCTGGTTAGCAGTCAAATACCTTATCCACTATGCCACCAGAGCTCCTTAAGTAACCAGCAAAGAGATGATAAATCAACTGGTGGAGATTGTTAAGGAAAGAGCATAGAAGGAGGAAAGAAGAAAGTTCAGGACTGAGCCCTGGGGCCCTTCAGCATTTCAGGTCATCGAGATGAGGAAGGGTGATACTATGATGGAGTTACATTCTCTGTGGGTGGTTACACTCTCTAGATAGGGTGGGAAGTACACTGTTCATTGGGTATTAATGGTTCATTATCATCCTGATGGCAAATAACAAAAACAACATTGTCCATAGGGGTCATGGGGGTGTCGGGATTATGATTTACATTGTTCACAAAATTTCCTTGCCAGGATTGAGGTGACAAGCCTGTGAAATGTTGTGGCTTCAGTGGGGATAGGCCCTGCCCTTGCCTTAGCCTGACAACAGTAGGGTAAATGTTATCTGTGTTAAGGGAGTGACTGGAATGAAAACTACTAGATCCAGAGGAGTGGGGAGTATCCTTACCGTCTGGGCAAAGTTTTCTCCATGGACCATTACACTGTTCATCACAGGCATGAGCTGGGTCTGCAGGTGGCTGTGGTTTCTACTGGGCCCTGAAGTTGACTGGGCCATGGTTGGATGGCATGGTCTTCAAGGAGTAGCCAGTGATAATGAATAGTTTCTGTCATGACTCTGCAACACTCCAGTGTGCTATGAATTGACTCTTGTCCCCTGGTACCTGTGAAAGGAGATCTGGTGACACAGTGGTTAAGTGCTCAGCTGGTGACTGGAAGGTTTGCACCCACCAGCTGCTTTGTGGGAGAAGCCATCTACGGGGTATGGCAATCTGCTTCCATAAAGATTCCAAAACCCAACCCACTTGAGCTCCATGCTCTCTTAAGACTGTCTGTTTGGGATCAAAGTGACAACAGTAACTCAAAAGATTAGATAGGAATCTTAGGAGACAATGAGTTTACGTTTATGGGGGAAGAACAAGGAAGAAAAGGAGGAGGGAATGGATGCCCAACCCAGGGAATGAATGTCATCAATGTCACTAAATGGCATATGGAGAAACAGCTCAATTGGTGTCTATTTTGCCGTGTATATTCTCAACGACAACAAAATTAAAAAACAAACCCATCACCGTTGAGTTGATTCCAACTCACAGCAACCCAAGGGACAGAGTAGAACTGTCCCATAGGATTTCCAAAGCTATAACCTTTACAGAAGCAGACTGCCTCATCTTCCTCCCACAGAGCAGCTGGTGGGTTCAACCATTAACCTTTCAGTTAGCTGCCGAGCACTTAAACACTGTGCCACTAGGATTCCTTTCCTTGGAAACCCTATGGGGTGATTCTACTCTGTCCCCTTGGGGTTGCTATGAGTTGGAATTGACTCAACGGCAGTGGGTTTTTGGCTTTGGTACCTGTGAATGGGACCTTGTTTGGAAATGGGGTCTTTGCACTTGTTACCAGTTTAGTTCACTTGCGGTTCTACTGGAGGATGCTGGGTTCTGATCCTACATGGTTGATGTCCTTATGGAAGAGAAGACACACAGGGGGAAGACAGCCACGTAAAGACAGAGGCAGAGAATGGAGTGATCTCCAGCTCAAAGAATCCCAAAGATTACCAACCATCGCCAGAAGGGAAGAGAGAACACGCACGCATTCTCCCTCAGAGCCTTCTGAAGGAATCAAAATGGCTGACACTCTGATTTGGGTTCTTAGCCTTCAAAACTGCGAGATGATCAATTTCAGTCCTTATAAACCATCCAAAGTGTGACACTTAGTTATAGCAGCTGCAGGAAACGCAGGGTGTTCGACATAATAACGGTGGAATTCATCATTCCTGGGGGTGGGTCTTGGTGTTCAGGAGGCAACTGTACTATCCCAGAGGGACCACATTTCTGTGGTGTAGTCACAATGGGTGCAGTTACAATGGGTGTGGACAGGTTTGCACAAACCCCAGGAGGTCATGCTGCCTAGGGGACATCATCAGGGATTCACATTCTGTATGTATGGATGGTTTGCTTATGACGAATCGCCACTCCTGGTTGTATTTCACATGACCGAGCTGCCCAACTGGGCCAGGTGGAATTATGCTATCCTCTATACCCACATTCAGGAGCTCTGGTGGTGTAGTGCCTAGGGTACTTGACTGCTAACCAGAAGGCTGGCGGTTCAAACCCACCAGCCACTCCTTGGAAGGAAGGTTGGGCAATCTACTTCCATAGTGATACTGCCTTGGAAACCCAGGGAGGGGTCTCTGTGAGTCAGATCTGACTTGACGGCAGTGAGTTTTACATCCACGTTCACACCATCGGTGTCCAGCATTTATTGCATACTTAATTCAACCAAAAACCAAACCCACTGCCATCGAGTTGATTCTGACTCACAGCACCCCTAGAGGACAGAGTAGAACTGCCCCACTGGGTTTCCAACGCTGTCAATCTCTGCAGAAGCAGAGTGCCTCATCTTTCTGCAGTGGAGGGGCTGATGGGTTCAAACTGCCGACCTTAGCAGCCAAATGCTTTAAGCACTGTGCCATCAGAGGTCCTCATACTTACTTCACATCCCCTATCACAATAACCTTATTCTGTAGACTCTGTTAATGTTCCCATTTTACAGCTGAGGAAAGCTGAGAGTCAGATGTAAACCCGTTTGTCCATGTCAGATAGGAAGTACCAGAGCTATTACAGGTCACTGGGGCTGTTATATATCGGTTAATCTATGAAACTTTGAATTCTCTTGTTTTGCAAAAAATAAAGAGGTAGTATGGTATAGTTGCAGGAGCTCTGGTAGCACAGTGCCTAAGGCACTTGACTGCTAACCAGAAGGCTGGCAGTTCAAACCCACCAGCCACTCCTTGGAAGGAAGGTTGGGCAATCTACTTCTGTAGTGATGCAGCCTCGGAAACCCAAGGAGTGGTCACTATGAGTCAGGTCTGACGCGACGGCACATAACAATAACAACATGGTAGAGTGGCAGGTCCCTGGGTGGCACAAGTGGTTTGCACTCGCCTATTAAGGGAAAGGTTGGTGGCTCTGGTGGCATTTGGCTGCTATCAGAAGGTCAGTGGTTCAAACCCACCAGCTGCTCCACGGAAGGAAGATGAGATGATCTACTTTGGTAAAGATTTACCGTCTTGGAAACCCAATGGGGATCGCTATGAGTTGGAATCGACTTGATGGCAGTGAGTTTGGTTTGGTTTAATGGCACCGTGGAAGAAAAGTCTGGCAACTGATTTCATTAAGACTGCAGGCAGAAAACCCCATGGAGCAGTTGTATAGAATCATCATGAGTCAGAATCAATTCAATGGCAGCGTGCTGTTGGTTTTGAAAGCGTAATGGTTAAGAATCGTGGTTAGAATGAGGTGGATCTGGGTTACAGTCCTGGCTCCAATATTTCCTGGCTGTATGAATTTGACCGACTGATTCCTCCTCTCAGTGCCTCATTTTCTTAATCTGTAATGGCCATAAAAACCAACCCACCTACCCACTGCCATCCAGTCAATTCTGATTCCTAGAGACCCTATACACCGGATAACTATAGCAACTCTTCTTAATGGAATTTGTGAAGATTAAATAAAATGTTCAGATAGTGCTTGACCCAACTTGATTAGAATTTGGGCGCTGTTATAATACCAATGATGATGATGGTGGGGACTGATGGACTACACGGCTCCCAGAGGGTTACAGTACCTGTACTGTCCGTAGGCAAGGTTACATAATTCCCCAGGGGGGTGCCAGTTCCCTGGAGGCCTTGGTGTCTCCAAGGAGGAGGTCTGAGACTGGCTGAGGTTCTAGTGAGGACGGGTCTACTGATGGAGGCTGGGCTTGAAGCTCTAAGAACCCAAGCCCTCCCAGTGGCCTGTCTATCTTGTTGCTCCTCTGGCTGCCACACTCCACTCCTCTGGTACCTCACAGTCCTTCTGTAGGCTTCCGTTTGTCCTCTACCCTGCTGCCAGCTCCCTGCCTCCATCTGATCCGCGTGTTCTGATTTCCTGTTCCCGGAGTCTCAGGCTTCATCCATCCCTCCCTCCGGGCCACCACCGGAGAGTAGACTTAACACTTCCCTACGCTCTGGCCTTCATCCTTAAGCCCTGCTTTCCTCTCTCCTAGCGACCCCCCAGTGCCCTGTGGGAGCACACTTGTTCAGACTTTGGCCGCCCCCTCGCATCCTGGCCCCACCTCCGGAACCCCCTGCCCCAGGGGTGGAGGTGGAGGTACCTCCGGCGCCAGCCGTCTCCCCAGGACAGCTGCAGCTTGGGGCTGGGGTGGGGGGGCTCCCAAATGCATTCTTTCTGGTCACTTCCTCCCCAGCTGGGACTGGGGCTATCAGGAAGGCCAAGACCCCATCCTCAGAGGAGCGGAGGGTACAGCCACCTCCCCATTTCCGATGCTGGGAAATGCTTCCCACCCATTCCACCCCACCCCTGGACAGCTGCCCCCACTCAAGTCTCAGGATTGGGGGCCAGAGTGAGGCCAGTCTGGGAAATACAGAGGTCTTGGTCACCCTCCAAGGTCCTGACCCGCCCCCCGGCAGAGACGATTGGCCTTATCCCAAAAGGTGCATGCCTCCTCTCCATAAAAGTTTCTCACTTCATTTAGAATGGCCCCCCCACCCCCGACACCTCTTACGAGCCCCCAAAAGAAACTCTGGATCCCGCGTAGGCAGGAGAGGAGGAGGGGCGGTAGGTCGCGAGTTCCGAGGACTTAAGTTATCCGCAGACTTGGAGCCTCGGGAAAGGGTCATGACCCCCGAGACCCTATCGCACCCTTGCCCCCTCATTCCTCCCTCCCCAGCCGCGCGGCCCCTTTAAGCTCAGAGCCGGCCGGTCCTCAGTGGCTGCTAGCCGGCGAGTGTGTGTCTATGTGTGTGTGAGTGTGCGCGGGGAGGGGGCGGGCGCAGTGTCGCCATGGCGACGCGGCGGTGACGTCGCCGGCCGGGGGGCGTGGGCGTCCCGGCCCCGGAGTGCGATATTAACCCGGGAGGCGGTGGCGGGGAGGGGAGAGGCTCTGAGAGGCGAGGCCGGGTGAGGCGGCGAGGGCGGCCCGACGGGCACAGGACGGGACGGGGCAGCGCGGGTGCCGGGAGCCGCGGCCCGGAGTAGGGGCGCCTCGCCCCGGGCCCCCAAACATGAAGACCCCGGCGGACACAGGTAGGGGCGGGGGCAGCACGTGTAGGGACTTGTTGCCCCGGGAGACCGGGTGGAGAAACTTTGGGGGGGGGCTGAAGGGGCTTGGGGGAGCCCGAGTGGCCCCCAGTTCTGGGGAACCCCTAGCACGCGAGACCTGTTGCTTCTCGCGGCGCGAGCGGGGGGATGTTGCCTGGGACCCCCAATTCCTGGCTGAGTGGTACGGGTGTTGCAGGTCCTGGTTCTCTCTCGCTGCCCAAAACCCGCAAGCTGGGCTCTACCCTACTGCCAGGATCACAGGGGTGGCGGGGTCCTTCCTCCTCGCCACTCTGTCACGTTGCACTCTGGGGGCCGGGACGTGTGCTGTGTCGGCGGGGGGAGGCTCTTCACGGGGCCCGCTATCCCCAGTCCCTCTTTGCGCGGTCCAGCCCGTGACCTTCACGGCGGCGCTTGCCCCGCACCGGGTTGGTGGGGATACGGGATGGCCTCTGGGAGAAGAGCGTGAGTGGGGAGCTCGGGACTTGGGGGGGGTCCAGGCTACGCCGCCCCTCCCCCGCCCGGCTCCGCCGGCTCCGCGCTCCCCCGCCCGCGGGGAGTCGCAAAGTTCCAAAGCGCAGCCCGAACGTTCGAAAAAGGAACTTTTTGTTTCCGACCTTAGAACGCGCGGCTTTAAGGTGGTTCCGGGGGAGACGTGGGTATCCTCCTCCCGTGCCGCCGGGGGCCTCGGGTTGAGGAGGGTGGGGAAGGTGGAGGGGGGAACGCGGAGGCTCCCTCCCTCGTCCCCCTCCTGTATCCAGCTCGTCTTCTTCGGCGGCCGCCGGTCTTTTTCTCTCCGCCTCTCTCTTCCCCGCCAACTTGCTCCTCCTTAAGGGGCCAAGGTTCCCCTCCCCCCCCTCGGTCGACGGGCGGGGGGCAGCGGGATTAACCCCCCTCCCACTCGGACTTTCCCCCTTTCCCTCCCCCGCCGCCCCTGTGCGCGCGCGGGCTGGACTTTGCGCCGGGGCGCGCTTGGGGGGAGGGGTCCCAGCCGCCCCCTGCCCGTCTACCCCGTCGGAATCCGGCCTGGGGCGGGGACGGGGGAGGGGGAAGGGGGCCGGGCGCCGCTGTTCAAACTTGTTTCCTTTCCCCGGCGGCGGCCGGGACTAGGGCTCCTGTGTGCGGGTGTGTGCCCCGACCGGCCCACCCACCCCCCTGCTCGGCGGGTGGGGGCGGCTCTTAAAGGGCTCTGGGCCCAGCTCCGGAGCCTGGGGATTGGGACAGAGGAAGGGGACTGGGGGTGGGGCAGGGGTGCGGAGTGCTGTAGGGTCAGTCACGTGCGTATCGCTTATTCCGCGGCTCCCACAGCCTCCCAGGCCGCTGGGCCCTGGGGGCAGCAGGAGCCTCTGCTAGTCGGAGGAAGGGGCCGGGGGGCCGAGGCGCCCAGACAACCCCGCCTCATTTTCTCTCCCCACTGCGGGCCTTCGCCTGGTGGGACCGGCTGGGCCACTCCCCCAGCCCTGTCTAGGGGCTGAGCCGTGTGTGGGCTCCCAGGCTGGGGGAAAGGGCGGCAGCCTGGAGTGGTCTCCTAATCGGTCCATCAGTTTGTCGGACTCCTGGCCGGCTGCTGCGCGCCTTGCATCCGAGCCTCCATCCCGGCCCCTCTCTCCTCTGCCTCGGCTGTTTCCCACTTCCTGTTTTCTTCCCGACTCTGGCGCCATCGAGGGCTGCCTGGAGTGGGGGAGGTGGTGGGGGCCACCAGGAGGCTGGCGTGTTCTTTCTCTAGCACCACTCCTCCCTTCCGACCCCCATGGCCCCTTAACAAAGTTGAGGCAGTCACCTGCAGTTGGGGTGTCAGAAGTTCCGCTGCCCAGGTTTTAAGTGCCTGAGAGAATCCCTGCCCCACCTTTGTGGGACCCAGGTGTGCCTTTTGGGACGCGGCCATCCAGGCCTTTCCTGTTTGTCTGTTGCTATCTCTACACCCTGTCTCTCAAATTCCTGGACCTCTTTCTGTTTCGGCTGCTCTCCCCCTGCTTCACTGTACCCCCATGACCCAGAAGTCCTGCACCCAGAAGCTTTCTTGGTGCAGTCCGTGTATTTTCCTGCCATAGCACGTGGACGCATACAACATACTCACTCAGGCTCCCCCATGCCCGTGCCTGGCTCCTGGCTCCAAGGCCTGGGGAACAGAGCCCCATTGAGACACCCTGACGTCACCCCCCCTTCATTCTCTCTACTAAAGCCGGGAACAGGCCCTCATGTATGCTGTGTCCGATGAGGAAAGCCGGTGTTGGGGTGGGTCTGAAAGTGGGGAGGGCCCCTGCCAGGAGTGGGAGCCAGGGTCCTGACCCTGTGGGGTTGTTTGAGGAGGGGGGTTTACAAGGGGGCCTGGGACAGCTCCCGGAATGCGGCTTGAGGCCTTTCCAGAGCCCCCCCCTTTCTGAGTTCCCTTTGTGTTGCATGTAGTCTCTCTCACTCACTCCCTCTCTTCTGCAAAGTTTATTTTTAGCCTCCTGCTCCCCCGCTCCCAGGACTGTCGCTGCACACACGTTGCCTGGTTACCGGGACACGGAGGCTGGGGCGGGTGGGCTGGGATGGGTGGCTTTAATTTTGGGGGAGGGTGGAAGTCAGCACCCCCACACACACCCCCAGACACTGTCTCAAGGGTTTCTACCCCCCTGCTGGGTTTGGAAGCCCAGTTGGGGCTTAAGTGGGAGTAGCATGGAGCTTGGGGGCCCTCAGGGGAACAGGGAGCTTTTGGGAGGGGGCTGGAAGGAACATGGACTTGGTGGCTTGGTCATCTGGGTTCCCAAGGGTCTCTGGGCTCAGGGAGATTCTGGGGCCTGGGTTCCTTAAAGGGTGAGGATTCAGAGTGAACACCTGGATTGTCAAGGTGGGGGGATGCTGGAGTCCCTGGAAGGGATTGTCAGGGACTGTTACTTCTGAGTGGCGCACGGGTTGCTGGTACAGAGACCTGGGTCTGTGACCAGCTGCCAGTCGTATCTTTGGAGTCCTGAGGATTGAGGCTGGGACTTCTGAATGGCCCAGGACCTGATCTTCCCAGGGCCTGGAGTGAGGGCCTGGATTCCTGAGGCAATTAGAGTAAGATATGGATTTGGAGGGGTTGGTCCCTGTGGAAACAGGAACTGCTGTTCTCTGGTGTTCCCAAGGGGAAGGGTCATCCTCTGTTGGATTGTAGACTGGGTGGAGTCTTTGGGGAAAGCTCAGTGTTGCCTGGAGGCCTGGTTGGTTACCTGCTTGAGCTGAGGCCAAGGGAGAGTGGCTGGACCCATGCAGCCCGCTGGGACTTGGGACCCCAGCTTGTCTTCATCTGTCCACCTTGGCCTTCTCTCTAGTGGCACCAGGGCCCCTGCCCTGCCTGCCTGCCTCCCTCTCTCCCTCCCTCCTTCCCTTCCTCCCTTCCCTCCTCCCACCCCTCCATTACCGGCTGCCTAGTGCTGAATTATTGATAGCCCCTGATTACCCGGGGGTTTGGGAAATGACAGCAACCGCAGCCCCCCCACCCCAGGCTGCCCACCCTCTCCAGGGACCAGCCAGCCCACCACCAACCTCTAGCCAAGGTTAATGCTGGGGGCGGGCGGGCAGGTGGGCAGGGGAGAAGCCTGAGGGTGGGCAGGCCAAAGGGAGAAGAGGGCTCCAGTGGTGGTGCCTGTTCAATGTCAAGGGCTGGGGGGGGGGGAGGGGGGAGGTGGCTCAGGCAGGCTGTGCCCGGATGCCTGGGTCTGGGGAGAGCCGTGCCGCATGGAGGGTCCAGGGCTTGGGGGGGCCGCTCTCAGACAGTCTGGGTTTTACTCTCCAGGGAAGACAAGAAGCCTCTGTGTGCAGGCGCTGACCTCATCGTCAACCAGTTACCCCACCCCTCCTGGTCCTTTTAAGAAAAAAAAAAAAATTCCTCTCAGGTCGTGGGGTGGGAGTGGGAGCTCCTGTCAAGTTGAGGGGGGTGACAGTATATGTTCCTAGGAGGGGACTGGAGGATCTGGGAGGGGGCAACTGGCTCTGAATGGGAGCCTGGTGAGTTCTAGGGGGGCTGCGCCCCAACCCGCCCGGCCACGTGTGTCTGTCCGCCGCCCCTTCCTGCCCCTCCTCCACTGGCAGCCCTGCCCGCCAGCCTGGCTTGGTGCCTGGCCCCCTGGCACTGGCCCCGGGACCCGCCGCCGATGGTTTCCTGTTTCTCCCGGTGTCGCCGGAGCAGGCTCCAGCTTCCCCTCCCCCCCAGCTCCCGTCTAGTCCCCCTCACGCACAGACAGACAAACACTGTCTCCTGCTAACCCAGGTCCTGACTTGGTCACAGCCAGACGGATTTCCCCACATCGAGGGTGGGGTGGGAGGTGGACACTGGGGTAAGACCCAGAGCCCGGACTTGGCGGCCTGACCTGGGGCCACTCCCCTGCCTCTGTCCCCAGGGTTTGCTTTCCCGGATTGGGCCTACAAGCCTGAGTCGTCCCCCGGCTCGCGGCAGATCCAGCTGTGGCACTTTATCTTGGAGCTGCTGCGGAAGGAGGAGTACCAGGGTGTCATCGCCTGGCAGGGGGACTACGGGGAGTTCGTCATCAAGGACCCTGACGAGGTGGCTCGGCTCTGGGGCGTCCGCAAGTGCAAGCCCCAGATGAATTACGACAAGCTGAGCCGGGCCCTGCGGTGAGAAGAGCTAGAGGCCAGTGGGCAGAGGTCCTCACTTGTTGGGGTGTTGGGGAGCCCCTGATTCATGGGAACAGGCTTTGGGTGTGACTACTGGCACTGCCGTATTCTAGTGAGACCTTGGGCAAATCTTAAGCCTTGTCTGGGCCCATTTGTAATGGAGGGATGTTCTGAGGACAGAATCTATGGGTGCGGTCTCTTGCCTGGCCCAGACGAAAGAAGAGATAGTCCTCACCCTCGGGGAACTTGATTTCTCTCAAGTGGCCTGTGTGTCGTGGGTACCTTTTGTGAGCAGCCCCTAAGCATATGCCAACTGCCCGTGCCAACTGTGTCTTTTTGCACCCAAAGGTATTATTACAACAAACGTATTCTGCATAAGACCAAGGGGAAACGGTTCACCTACAAGTTCAACTTCAACAAACTGGTGCTGGTTAATTACCCTTTCATTGACGTGGGGTTGGCTGGTGAGTCCAGGGGCTGGTGGGTGTGGCCTTGGAGGGAGGAGAAGGTCTGGGTCTTGTCTGCCCATGGCCTTGACATCGAGTCTCCCTTCTGCTAGGGGGTGCAGTGCCCCAGAGCGCCCCACCAGTACCGTCAGGCGGCAGCCATTTCCGCTTCCCTCCCTCAACGCCCTCCGAGGTGCTGTCCCCCACTGAGGACCCCCGCTCACCACCTGCCTGCTCTTCATCTTCATCCTCCCTCTTCTCGGCTGTGGTCGCCCGCCGCCTGGGTCGTGGCTCGGTCAGTGACTGTAGTGATGGCACGTCAGAGCTGGAGGAGCCACTGGGAGAGGACCCCCGGGCCCGACCACCTGGCCCTCCGGAGCTGGGTGCCTTCCGTGGCCCCCCACTGGCCCGCCTGCCCCACGACCCTGGTGTCTTTCGAGTCTACCCTCGGCCCCGAGGTGGTCCTGAGCCCCTCAGCCCCTTCCCTGTGTCGCCCCTGCCTGGGCCTGGCTCTCTGCTGCCCCCTCAGCTGTCTCCGGCCCTGCCTATGACGCCCACCCACCTGGCCTACACACCCTCACCCACCTTGAGCCCTATGTACCCTGGTGGCGGCGGGGGCCCCAGTGGTTCAGGGGGAGGCTCACACTTCTCCTTCAGCCCTGAGGACATGAAACGGTACCTGCAGGCCCACACCCAAAGTGTCTACAACTACCACCTCAGTCCCCGCGCCTTCCTACACTACCCGGGGCTGGTAGTGCCCCAACCCCAGCGCCCTGACAAGTGCCCGCTGCCGCCCATGGCACCCGAGACCCCACCGGTCCCCTCCTCGGCCTCTTCCTCCTCCTCCTCCTCCTCCTCCTCCCCATTCAAGTTTAAGCTCCAGCCGCCTCCTCTTGGACGCCGGCAGCGGGCAGCGGGGGAGAAGGCCCCCGTGGGCTCTGACAAGCCCAGTGTCGGTGGCGGCGTTGGCAGCGGTGGCCCAGGCCGGCTGGGTGAGGGGGCGGGGGCGTTGGCACCACCGCCACCACCGCCCCAGATCAAGGTGGAGCCTATCTCAGAAGGTGAATCGGAGGAGGTGGAGGTGACTGACATCAGTGATGAGGATGAAGAAGATGGGGAGGTATTCAAGACACCCCGCGCCCCGCCTGCGCCCCCCAAGCCTGACCCGGGCGAGGCACCTGGGGCAGCCCAGTGCATGCCTCTCAAGCTGCGATTTAAGCGGCGCTGGAGTGAAGACTGTCGCCTGGAGGGGGGTGGGGGCACCGCCGGTGGCCTGGAGGATGAGGGTGAGGACAAGAAGGTGCGTGGGGAGGGGCCCGGGGAGGCCGGGGGGCCCCTCACCCCAAGACGGGTGAGCTCTGACCTCCAGCACGCCACGGCCCAGCTCTCCCTGGAGCCCCGTGATTCCTGAGGGCTGTGGGCCGGGGACAGAGTCCCCTCCCCCTATGCTTTTGCTGCCTTAACCGCCCCCCCAAAAAATGCCCTGGAGGTGAGGCCAGCTCTAGACCCTTTCCTGCCTCCTATTTCTTCCACCTTTTGTATAAAACTTACTTTTTTTTTTTTTTTTAAACGGTGGGGGTGGGTGGGTGCCCAGGGCTGTCTCCTTTCTGTGGGTTTCTAAGCTCCCGGGCAAAGTGATGGGAGGGAGGGAGGGAGAGGTTGGGGAGGTAAGGGGGCCGCCTCCATTCTGGGGAATTTTTATTTGAACCGAGGCTTTGGCCTCAACACCCAGGAACTTTTTTTATTACAATCGCTTAGGAAATAAAGCCGTGTTGCCCTGTCCTCTGCCTCTCACACCTCTCCCCTCTGCCCCAGCTGGTCCCAGCCCCAACCCTGTCTTCCCTGCCCCTCCAGGGGCCATGAGTGCCTGGGTTTCTCGTACCCCCACAAGGTCGTAGGAGGGGAGGGAGGGACAATTACATGATGAACCAAAAATTCCATGGGGGGTTGTGGGGGGCGGAGGAGGGTGAGGGGTACCACCCATGGGCCACAGAGCTCTATAAGTGCCTGCTAGTCCTCTCCCATTTCCCACCCAGCACCAGTCCGACCCCTTCCCCCCCAGCTGCTCCTAGTTCTGGCCCATGGGCAGGTGGGTGGGGGGGTAGGAAAAAGGGGGTACCCTGAAACCAAACTGGAAGCCCCCTCTGCCTCCCAGCTGGGGCTCCTGGGGTGGGGTGTAAGGGGGCTGTGGTCAAGCCTTATTCTGTATTGGGGATGGGGGGGCGGGAGGTAGGGAGGGGCTGCTGGAGAATGTATCCAAAACAATAAAACTTTGGACCTTTTGAGGTGGTGGTTTGTCATGGGTATAGGCATTACAGGGTCACAGCGATGGCTTGATTCTCAGCAATAGGGGACTGCACTGGCCTACATGAGAAGGGGGCCTGGCTGGCCTGAGATGGGTCAAATCCGGGCCTGATGATTCAGGTCCTAGCAAACTCTGGCCCCGTATCTGACTCTGCCTTTATTCCATGGGGACCTACTTGACCTGGAAAGTGCTTTAGATTCATGGCTGCCACCCTGTCACTGTTGCTCTTCTGGTCACCTGAAATGCCCTTCGTCTCTGGCTTTGAGTCCTCATACCCCCAGGTCCCTAGTGAGGGCCAGGGAGTGCATTTGCACCCGTCTAGCATCCTGCCCACATGTCTCTCCTTAGGGCACTTCTAAGCTAATCTGGGACTCTCATAAGGTTTTCGGACCAATTTTTGCAGAAGTAGATGGCCTCATTCTCCTTCCCAGTCTTAAGTCCGGAAGCTCCACTGAAACCCATCTACCACGGGTGACCCTGCTGGTGTATGAAATACTGGTGGCAGAGCCTCTAGCCTCACAGCAATACACAAGCCACCACAGTACGACAAACCGACGGGTGGTGGACAATAACCACAGTTGCCATTGAGTGACCTACTCAGTGCCCAGGATTGAGCTAGGGGCTGCCTTGCGTTATCTCCAGCATCCACCAAGGTAGGGGCAACCAATTCAGTTAAATGACTTGCCCAAGGCCATGAGGCTGTAGGAAGCAGAGCCAGGACTACAGATCTGTCCCTAAAGCCCATGTTCTTTGAACATCTTTTGAGTACTCTCTGAAGCCAAGATGATTGGCTCAAGATCAGGGACCAAGGCTGAGGATCTGGGAGGTGGGCTCATTAAGCTAGAAACCAGAATCGTTGAGCTCTGTAGGATCAGAGAGAAAATAGTCAAAAATCCAGGCTGGAAGTTTCCTTAGAGACAGGCCCAACCCCTTGCTCAGTGCAGGTGTGCTCCCTGAGGCCCAGAGAAGGGAAGGGGTTTCCCCAAGGCCATGGAATTTTGGGCTTAGGGCCCAAGGGGGGAAGGAACATTGAGCAACTGCTTCCTTCCATTCTCCTTTAAGCCTCGTCTGCCAGCCCAGGGTGGGTGGTCCCAGATAGTGGTTGGTGGTGAGGAGCAGCCAGGGCTGGGGTACTGGCGGCCTGCGGGCAACTGCTCCCTCTCCTGGGTGATGTAAGTCATTCCCTGGGGTGGGGGCACCGGGAGAGGCTGTGCTGGGTTATTTCTGGAAGTTGGGCTGAGGCATGTCTCCTAGCAACACAGATGTAGCTGAGAAGTTACTGGCGGTAGGGTGATGAAGAAAGGGGGATGTCACTGGGGGGGGGGCGGGGAGTGGATAAGGACCCTTAGCTCTGAAGAGTGCCTTCAAAACACTGCTAACCAGGTCTAAAATGGAGTCAACTTTTCAGCTCCGAAATTGCTCTCCTGGTCAGACTGTGGTCCAACCAGCCTTCTTGTCCCAGATTCTTGATGAGGGGGGTGTCAGGTGGCATCTGGCCTTGACGACTTCAGCAGCTCCCCCAATCTTTAATGGCCCACTTAAATCCATTCACAGGCCTGAAATGCTAAGTTTCTACAAGACACCCTTGGTTCCTTCCATGTCCTCTTAAGTCTTTGGCTCCAAGTAGAAAGTGGGTTATGGTTGGTTTGTAATCCTTTATATAATTTATCCTATCAAAGAGTCCCTTTTCACACCTATAGCCTCCAACACCTCCATAGACCCCTAAAACATTTTCCTGATGCTTCTCAACCATTCCTCAAACTTTCAGGTCCCTCAGAGATCCCCTAGTCACCAGTTTCTCAGTCTCCCAAAGACCTTTTACAGTCCCTTCAAACGTCTCAACTTGTCCCCAATAACTGCACCCAGGTGTCTACATAGCCCATCTTCACCTCTCCACAGACTCCCCTCAAACCCTCCTGACATCCTTAAGACCCCTCAGAGAGACAACCCATCCTAGCACCTGTCCACGAACGTTCTCAGACCCTCCAAACATCCTGATAGATTCCATCAGATCTTTGCTCCTCAGGCTCCCAGAAACCCCAATCCCTTCGTTGGCGGTTGCCCACGCGGAGCCCACTGCGTATGTTCTGGCCGTTAAGTAACCGCTGCTACCCTGCCCTGCTCTACTGGCCTCGCCGGCCTTCTCGGCCCAGTCCCTAATAACACCATGTGTCTTGGGGCTTGGCTCAGATTTTTACTTTTCGATTTCGAGCTGCCGTCAGAGGGCAGCAGACGCTTGGCTAGGAAACTACAACTCCCAGAAACACCCTCTCTTAGCTGTGAGTGATGCAGCCACATACAATGAGAAAGAAACGAACGTGTCCGCGTTTTGCCTTCTGGATGGTGTAGTCCGAAAGTTTTAGCGGTAAACTCAATCTCCCAGGGGCCTGTGTCCATCTAGAATTGCAGTTAGGAACACAGTGATGGACCGGCTTCAGGAAACAGAACAGTTAGTATGAACTCCGGCTTGGATTAAAGTCAGGAGACTCCATTTCCCATCATTCCAGGAGGCGGGAGGGGCCAAAGGCGCTTTCACTCTAGTTGCAAATGTTGGGCGGGGTATGTGTGGGGGAAATCACTCACACTTGCACCCGCACCCGCACCCACACCCACACACTGTTCCCCAGAGTCCTTTGGGCCTACATTCCTTTCCCTTTAATCGGTAAATGGTGCGTACGCCTTGCAGCCAGCTTAACTGTTTTGGGCCCTCTATGATCCTGTAATTTGGGAAGGGGGAGGACGCAAAGCGCTGAATGAGGGTTCAAGACAAATTTTATTTCCAGCTCAGCTTTCTGGTGCGACATTTTAGAAAAAGTTCAGACTGGAGACTAGTGTTCTGAGAGACTTTGTTTCCCAAAACCGTTGGAAGGGGGACATTTCTCTTTTTCTTTTTGGTGTAAGGAAATCTGTAACTTGAGTGCTTGAACTCCATTTTCCAAATTCCCTGGTCGATTCTGGCACTTTCTTGGGTCCTGGGGGACGGAGAAGGAGGCGTTGAAACACACTTCAGATCTCCAGGGTATTGCCTTCTGTTAGCTTTCGTGCACACGCTCACGGTGGTATCCATTGGACTCCATTTCCCGGCAAGCGCCTGCGGTCCTGTCTCACAAAAGGGTCAGAATCCGGCCTGACCCAGAATGCTTCGGGCTCATAGTAACAACTTTTCTCTCCATCCCACCTCCCCACCCGACCCCGTCCATGGGGAGGCTACCTTGAACTTCAGTTCCCAGAAGCCACCACGCCTCCTGTAGCAACAGCTACGATACGACTACATTTCCCGACAGGAACTGCGGCCTAGCGTACAGGGGAGGGGGAGGGCGTTCCTGCTCCATTTCCTAGCCTACCTACGGAACTGCAGTATCCACTGGAACTGAGGAACCACACAGGACTCTGTTTCCCGGCGTGCTTTGAGAACTGCATTACATCCGCAATGCGGTGAAGGCGTGGCGACGACTCCATTTCCCAGTTTGCCCCACGGTTCGATGTCTACGAGTCCACGGGCGTCGAATCAATTTCCCAGTGTCCATCTGGTGCCAATATACACTATCAATACTAAGTGGGCTACTGGACTCCATTTCCCGTCATGCATGAGGTTTACTTCTCGCACAGCTCATTGACAGAGTGGCTGCTACTACGTTTTGGAGGCACCTCTTGAAGATAATGACTGTGGGACTCTGACTCTATTTCCCAAAGTGTTTCAGGTTCCGCCATCTGCAGTCGACCGATGGATTGCCCAGGGCTTTATTTCCCAGCGTGCAGCTGGACGCTTCGTCCCCGCCCTCTCCTCTGAGGCCTTTGCGGACTCCATTTCCCGGTGTACCACACGGCTCTCTGTACGGCCCGCGGGCCGAAGGCGGCGACAGCGACGCGCAAGGCAGGCGGACTGCATCTCCCGACGTGCCCCGAGGCGGGCCCTGGGCCGGAGTCCGAGCGGCGCGGCCTGGAGGAGGCCAGAGTCCTGAGGAGGCGGCGGCAGCAGCAGCGGAGGGGGCAGCCCGGGCAGCCCGAGCAGCCCGAGCCCCGTGTCCTGGGCCTGCGCTCGGCGCCATGAGCGGCGGCGGGCCTTCGGGGGGCGGCCCCGGGGGC